GAAACCAGTTTGGAATTGTTCTGCACCCAGCATAAAGAACAAGACTCGGATATTCAACACGAATGTGAAATCAGTCAGTTCTTCCATACGGTTCACAAACTTGCACTGCGTGTCACGAAAAGGATCTCCAACAAGTTACGGGATCTTATCAACAGCTACCTTCGCTGGCTGGCTTCATACTGAAGATCAAATGGCCAGCCGGCCAGAAAGAATTAGCAACAAGAAACTCTGGCTGAGAACAAACCAACCAAGAGCCGACTGCTCAACAAATATGTAGGAGAAAATGGAGATGGATTGATCGGGTATACATTGTTGAGACCCTCGAATGACATCGCGTGCAATGCAGGCCATCGTTTGAGTGGAATCCGAATGGGAAGCGACGAGTGGGTCGTCGGTGCGAGGGTGATATGGAGGAGATCTTGTGGTGAGGAGGTGTAGAATAGAGATGATTGTCAGTCATGGATGTAGCTGAAGAGGACAGTAGAGAACAGAACAAAGTGGATATGTGTTGCTGAAGCCGTGTATTCCATTCGGAACCCAGGGAGTAGTTATAATAGCATAATAATACAGTGGAGTTTAAGAAACCAATAGTAGTGTTTCTCGCTTTCACTGCTATGAATGATATTAGAGTTTAGAGGAGTTGGAGAAACGACCTACGGAGTTATGTCAAAAGTGATGAGAGAAGAAGAAAACAAATTTGGTACATACCTGTTGAAGGCTAATAATAGTGACGGGAATGCACTAGTATGAAAGTGATGAAGAGGGGGTGGGTGAGGAATGACAAAGGTTTGTATGCCAATGAAAGTGTTTGCGGTTGATACTTCCTGGCTGCCCAAAGTATGGAAGGTGATTTCTTCTTGAACTACCTGAAACAGATGTTGCCCCATGGGACAACTACTTGAGGCCAGTCACATGTGGCCTGTTTCGATTGGTATTTGCAGTTTTATCCATATTAAGATCTCACCACCGGATATTGAAACAGATAAGGCTGAAGGTTAGAGAGACCTAACAACTCTCTACGAAATAAGCAAGTCTGTAGCCGCAAGAGATCAAAGCAGATGAGGCTAGTGAAAGATAGTAATGGAAACTCACCTACCAAAGAAGCGTAGCTGAGCAATTGCTGGACTAGAACAGAAACTAGAACAGAAACGCCACCAGGAGAAACACAAATGCCACTGACCAGAAATCCTCCGAGGGATTCAGAAGTCTCTAATTCCATAAAGTTACTGAAAGCTGGGAAAGCAGTCAGACCACCTGGAATTCCCCCAGAAGGAATTAAAACAGACCCATAGACGTCAGCTGACATGCTCAAGCCACTACTTCAGAAGACGTGGAAGGAAAGCTCAGGTACCCACTAACTAGAAGGGAGGTTACTTTGTCAGACTCCGATTTAAGTCTATGCACGAACTACCAAGGGACGATGCTGCTATCCACTTAAAGCAAAGTATTAGTCTGTGCGTCGGTGGCACAGTGGTTAGGACTTTCGCCGACCATGCACATGGTCCGGGGTTTGATCCCCTGCCGACACACACCCGATATCTATGGTCGGCCTGCTAAATTTGGGCTACCGATATCCATGCTGAAAATTCCATACTTGTACTGAAAATACAGAGTGCCATCAAGCTCTAATAATAAATAAAAAATAATAAAAATAATCATTCAGTAAAGACTGAAAGAAGCTCTGAATGGGAGATATGTATTTTGCTGGTGATTTATGTATTATGTTGCGCAAACTAGAAGGTCTACAAGTTATCTGAAGAGATAGCAAATACAGGCCCTCAGGAGAGCGCAGGGAAGACAGAGGTGATAAAGATACCCGACCACTAGAAACAAACGTCACTCACCAACATTGGGAGAATTCTAAGTAAAGTCATCTCTATCGTTTACCCGGATGGTATCGTTTCAACTACAAGAATGTCAAAAACTGTGTCGGATAGAGTGAGAAAGACAGGCGTTCAATACTCTGAAATCAGCGTTGAGATCTACGGCAGTTATGACAAGGAACACTATTCAAATTTATAATGCTAACGTGAAGTCACTGCTTCCATGTGGTTCAAAACAAATGTCACCGGAAACATTTCCAACAGTCTGCTGCAGACTATCACCAACACCTGTTTTCATTCGAAACTAAAATTCAGGTGGCCGGCCAACCAGATAGGATCAGCAACGAGGAAGTTGGGCAGACAGCGAACCAGTAAGCAAGAACGTATTGTTCAATAAACATTCAGAGGGAAATGGAGCTGAATTGGACAAACGCAAAGGAGACTGTTGAGTGACATCACATGCCTAGCCTTCTAGTGGAACCTGCGTGTGAATCGAAGCAGTGGGAATTCCAGGGTTACATGGGACAGGTCATGTGAGGAGGGAATGAAAGCTTGCGTGCAGTAGTGGAAATAGCTGCAATGTGATGTCACAGAGCCGAGTGGAATGGATATTCATACCATCAAATGTTGGATTTCTGTGGATAGTATTGTAGCGGCAGATGGGAGGGGAGTGAGTCATAACGGGGGTAATTCCCCAGAATTATTAGCCACAGAATTCATCCCTGAACATTGGATGCTGACCCTCACTGTTTTAGTCCATTTGTTTAGCTGAAGGCTTCCGGTCAAGCATCCACACCATTTGGGAAGCCGTCGTGTTATGTTCGTTCGTGCATTATTCCTAGCTAGTTAGGCAATCATCTCGCACTCCGATTTCGTCCCAAAATATAACTCGTAATTTGGACGGTCAATTCCAGTGTTTTACTTTGCCTTTAATCTACGCGGAACGAATACTATAGAAGTTGTGTGTATTAGATCTTGCGTTAGCACTAATTGTACTGTCAGTGAACGTCAATACCCTCAGCCCCTAAGGTATTAAATAAAGCTGTAGGGGGATTAGACCGTTTGTTATTATCTCCTAGTAGATGCCTGTACAGTGATTATTTTTAACTTATGATTTATGTGACAGATCAATATAGAAACTTTGAAAAAGGTTTGGCAATTCTACGTGCTGCACTTAAAATATACAGAGACATAGTCAACAAATCAGGGAGAAAAACGAAGTGAATTTGTTTTATGAGATGCATTCGGTTAATAATAATGCATAATAATAATAATCACTGTATTCCAAACAGTAATTTTCGTACTGAATGGAATCTTCAGCATTGTACATATTACAACAGTTTATCTGCATATACGAATAAATACATATTACTGAAATAGTAAAGATAATAAAACCTGAGAAACTACAGTTAATAAGATAATGAAAAGATGATTTCTAGGCGAACAATTGTTTGCGATAACTTCGTCTTCAGGCTGTGCAATTGTGTATCCATGAGCTCGTAGACCATTAAGCCACTGGGACCTGTTGCAATGGCCCATGAATATACTTTTTTTAAATAATAATTCTACAAATAAATCGCTGTTCATTTACAGATTATGAAGTAGATTTACTGGCTGTTTTCTGACATTTGCCAATTCACACAACACCTGTACTAAATACGGCATTACTGAATTTAAAGATTTAGGCGTACGAGCATAAATTCAGGGGAAATTCATGCTACCTTTTCCTTAAGAGATATATAGAGAAAGTTGTGAATAAACAGAGTGTTCTGTAACTGACAAGGTAACTTCAGCCTATTGCTTGCAAGACCTAAAATGCCTACCACCAACAGTGTGAGTTAGTTGCATCAAAGGCACACCAATAACCCTACTTGCAACCTTCAACTCCCTACATAATTTGACACAATCGTTTTTGAATGGGTAGCGTGCTCCGACTGGTAAACTGTAAGAGAAGACGTTCAGTTATACCAGGAAGTCTCATCTTCATTAGGTAGTCGGTCAAACGAAAGGTTTTCAGAAATTAACATGACATGAGACAACCAACTGAGAATAAAAGAGGAAAATTGAGTGAAGGGTAATTAAAGTAACCGATAGTTTTTGTGATGAGGAGTAGAGTTAACTGTATGTTTTGAACAATTTGACGAGACATCTCCATCCATTAGCGACTTGACGACCTCAACCAGAAAACCTACACTTCCCCATACAGTCATAATAATTGAATTTTGTAAACTAATATTATGCATTGATTATTACATCCTTGGTTTCTTTTAACTGTTTTTCTGTATTGTCTTAAATCGCTCTTCCACAAAGGTGTACTCAATAAATTCTGTAACCAACGTAGTCGGTGAAGATTCATAACCCCACCTGCTAATTTATGTTCTTTGTGTAACACTCAACATTTAGTCTTAACATTACTCGATGTTACTATCAAGATAGTTTTAATCATAAACCTATGATCACCTCGTGTTTGCCATTTTCAACAGATATGTTTTACATCCGAAGAGTAGAAAAGAACGAAATATTCTACCGTATGTTCAAAGACTGATCGGTGAACGAATTATTGCAGATGTAAGAGATTAGATAAGTTGGCAAATAGCCTATGTTTTTAAATTCCGTGTTAGTTTGTTTATTAGACGTATCACACAGTGATGGAACAGTACTATTTACTGGATGTCGTTTAGAACAAAATTTATTCCTCATAATCATGTCATCAATTATAATCACACGAGTTCGAAACTTGAGTTTTATAGTTTTCTTTGTTCTCTTCTATTTGTCGTCGTTGGGGTAGTAGAATTTTCCAGATATCTGGGACAGGTGTTGAATCATTCCTATGACAGGTATTTGCTGTTGATTCGATAAACAAAGCTTCTGTTATCAATCTCTCCCTCCACCCTGTGACATTAGATTTTAAAACTGTCATCTTATCCCATCCATCCTATTGTATGGTTGTGTGTAATTGCATGTAATGCTACCTAAGGTTGAACTATTCTCCAGATTTCTTATCTTATTCGGGTCAACTAATCTAGATTTTGCTAGGTTTTTATGCTCAGCTAGTCTGACTGCACCTGTTCTGCTACTTTCACCTATGTATTTGACCTGACAATCATTGCAGGGTATTAAATAAATTAAATCGTTTTGTTTAATTAACTCCACAGGCAGGATCCTTTAACCGACAACGCTTGTTTCTAATTGAGTTTGTGAGTTTGAATGTCACTTTTATTCCTGCCAGCATTGTTAGGAATTCTGCGTAAGGTTTCCGAGGTTCCTTCCTTGTATGGAATTACTACTGATGATTTAGATTCTTTATTGTGAGTGTTGTCTTGTGCATGTTTGACATGCATGTCGTCATTATTATTATCACTACTCTCATTATTTATTTTATTTTTACATTTCCCTACATACTTTCTGACTAATTTATCAGGGTAATTATTAAGTTTCAAAGCTTCTCCAATATGCCTCACTTCTTGTCTTAGATTTTCCTTGGTACTCCTTAGCTTTTGTGCTCTATTATTTAAACATTTCACCAATCTTATTTTCACTAACATAGGATGGGATGATCGGAAGTCCAAATATCTGTTTTAATGTGTGGGTTTCCTATAAACACTAGTGTTTAACTTCACATCTTCTTTCCTTTTTACACTACAATCTAACATTGGAAGTTCCCCTTCCTGACTTTCCAACTCATAAGTGAATTGAATTGCATCCACCTTCGAGCCAATGTGTTCGAAAAATCTGTCTATATCCTGTGTTCTAAGTACAGTGAATGTGTCATCTACATACCTCCACCATACTTTTGGAGTGGGGCTGAACATTTCAATCGCTATGTTTTCCCACCTATCCATGAATATATCTGCCACAACCGGGGATATTGGTGACCCCATGGCAACTCCCTCAGTTTGTTTCTATATTTTCCCTTGGAATTTAAATACTGTGGAAGTAAGGTATGTATAGCTGCACTTCTAGCATTATGCCTATGTTTTGAAATTTTATCATGAAATATTCTCAAACAGACGAAGTAATACAAACTCGTCCGGCATCATTACGGCTTTTAAGTATGAAATGAATACTGAACATGTTTAGGTTTTCACTCAGAGAATTTAGAAAACTCTGAATGAATACAGAAACGTCAGATAGCTTTAAAACAAATATTAGTTCTTCCAAACTTTATTCAAATCTTTCAGTGCCCTACATATTAACGGTCCACAAATCTGAATGCAGAGAATATACTTTTATACTAAATTTACTTACATTTAATTTAGAATTGTTTTTAGTAAATTATTTTATTTCATTATAAAAAATGGCTGATTTCTGCAAATGCCAGTCTACCAAATGTCGTTATGTTGAAATCCTCTGGTACATCCGTTAGAGTAATAAACATTTGTAAACCGTTGTAAATGAAAATATCTGTACACTTCGGGAAGAAGTAGTTGATCAGAGGAATGGCTCAACAGTATGAAGACTTAAATGATGGTTTGTTGTCTTAGAAGATACTGTTATATAAAGTTGGAGTTAATATAAGTAGCCATTAGTTGTCCATAGGTTATTCTAATAGGTACGCGAAATTCGTGAGATTAATTCATGTTTTAATGCGTTATTTCCGGTTTGCTCTCTGTGACTAATTATCGGTGAGGTCTACCTGTGATCTTAAATAAACCTATGCTCTTTAGGAGACTGCCATCCTAATAAACTAATAATACTGTCATGAAAATTACCAGTGTATCAGTAAGATTATTGTAATTTAACAATTTCTACTGTACGTCACACCTATGACTGCTAGATTTTTCTAATTAGAAATATAGCGACTAAGCTAACACAGCTACGACCCATTGGTCTTATGACCTTCTGAGTAACATTCTCACCTTTGAAACTATGAGTTCTTGACTAGATCTGTAGGCGAAATGTTTATAAATTGATACACTAAAACATGTAGATGCTGAGTCCTGAAACAGATCAGAGGATATCCTGTGTGTCCCATTCGTAACTATCATCAAAAAAATGCGTTCACTTGTTTGATGTTGGGTGAAATAGAAGTCTGGTGAACTTGTACTATAATACGAAATCTTCAGTTATATTTCTAGAAATATGCACAACAAGTGAATGCTCTATGTTCTTTTAACAAGTACGGAGACTGATGTTAGCTTCACACTTCTCATTATAACATTAGATGACCTAACGGTTTCATGATATGCCTTTAACAAATTCACTTGTCCAGACATTTAATCCGTTATTCACGAAAAGCATTTTAATCATTTGATGCGATTTCTAAAATAATCAAAATTTAGCTCAGAATCACCACCCTGACGAAACAAATATTAACTTGAAAACTTTTCAAGGCAGACTCCATGACGAACCGACATCAGTTAGAGAAGCTAACAAAGCCAAGGAACGCTGGATATATTCTACCTCGTAGTTTGATACCTACAGATATCATCCTGTGGCAGTAGCGCTATGTTGTGAATTGGCAAGAGTTAAAACTAATGTGCTACTGCACCTCGATACACTTGCTTGAAGATAATGTTATCAGCTTTTAAGTTGAAGAATGTGGATATGATATCCAGTAGCATAGAAAATGCGCTCTACATTAAGATGGTACCCGCGAACGAGAAAGCTATTCAGTACTGTTTAGCTTTCAGTAATTTACGCGTAGATGTCAGTTCATGGTGGAATTTGCCTTGCAAATCGGTCCAATAGCAGCAAAACTAAAGTAAAATAATGCTGTTGATTAAAATCCGGGTAGTTAAAGAGGGAAAACGTTTCACATTCTCCACTCCAATGAGTTGTAAGCTCCTAAATAAATACATATTCAGAATCATTTTTGGATACAACCAGTGTTCTTCAACAGGTTGCATGTACTCTGTGTACTTTATAATTAAACCAGAGAGTCCTAATTTGAGGCGCAACACCGAATAAATATTAAAAGTCCAGAATCCTGATGTTCGATATAGTCTGTTAGTTGGGCTGGATTTTCTTGTCTCAAACTGCTCAATGTTATGCTATACGTAACTATTTGTTCTATAAGGGTAAATAAAGACTACACATTTTTTAAGTTTGCAGTTTCAGGTAAACTGCCTCTAGAATAGCGAAAATTCCCCACAGTATTTACTACTTATTGATTTTATATGATACGGGGTGATATATAATGTTGAACATTTCGGCTAATGAAAAATGACCTACTGTGATTATGCTATCTCTTTGAATAACTAAACTGTAGTAAACAGACTTGCCAGGTAAAAGTAATCTTGCTCAGCTAATCCTCTTCCCACTTTTATAAAGTCTGATGGAATCAAATGTGGCATGTAATAATGAAAAGTTCGTCAGCTGAAGCGTGAAATCAAACACCAACTGAGATTGATGATATAAATTATCTTGGAACTCAGACCGATATCATACCTTAATTAGTCAGACTGAATGATGATATTTACCTTCTTATGCCACGAAATTAGACCATTTGAATATAGCTCATAAAAAGAATTCATCTTTTTCAAATATACAACTGGATCGAAAAGAAGACCCACTTGATACGAGTTTTGTATCATAAGCAGTACAAATTCGAGGAAAATGTATACACTATCTGATGTATTCTAGTATTCATCAATTACTACAGAAGCCACAGTCTTTATCGCTTAACTAATTTGGATAAAACTTCATAAAACAAAATACTTAATGCGAATCACTAGCCCACCTGTACACAACTGCGTCTTTGGGTTCTTATGGATGGTAGAAATCTATGAATCAGCATCTCCATGTAGTCACCGCGTTGAGTGATGCAACGCTATGGTACACTACTTTTGTGTTACTCATGAGCACATTTCATCCTTCTTCAATACGTTTTGATTAGCACTTAGAACCTAGACAGCGACAGTACTTACCATTCAGCGACTAGTTTATATGACTCCAGATGACAGAAGTAAGAAAAATATGAAAGGAGTCATCAAGATGATGCTTTCCTCCAACAAGTGAAATTAATTACCAACCGGTTTGTAATCAGTAGGATGTGATTAATTTTAAACTATTAATTCTTAAAGTACTACATAATTGACGATGCCTGGCAGGGTGGTTAAATGCTTTCAATGCATTCCGATGATGTCGAATACCGTCAGACTATCAAAGTTACACCCCTGTATTTGCATTACATAGCTTTATACGCATGTTATTCATAGTGCCCAGTGAAACAGAATCCCATCTACTTATTTTTTACTGTATTCCATTTCGAATTCCAAAGAAATTATATCGATTCACATGAACAGAATGTTTCAGGAATCGTTTAAGAATTTCGTCATTGTCGCTGTGCAAGATTAATTTAAACTTACTTTCTTTTGACCTAAAGCATTTCCACTAAGTAAGTTGACAAAATCAGCATAAAGGACATAAGAAACATTTCTCTTTGTTTGTTCCGTACACTGAAAACCAAGCTAAATATAATTAAATCAACTAACTCAAGGTCTACAGAAAATCTTTCGTTGAAGGGTATTACAAAAGAAAGGAATAACTCTGAATGATGAAAATAACTACTCGGTTGGTTGACTAAATCGGACAAACAGCCGGTTTCCCACACTTTTCACTTTAGTAACTAGATGAAATTGCTTTAGCTGTTGTGAGAATTTGGAATCGAAACGGATCCAAAATTCAAAAGTTGAAGTACATGTTTAAAGGTGACATTATTTAACAGCTATGCTGCATTTTGCCAGCAGGCATGGATAATAAGTCATGGACCATTGGATTTGAGGACACTAACTGCCCTATGACTTATTGGTCGCAGGTCAGTTTGTGTCCCTCTTAAAAATCTCAAGTTGGGATAAAGCACCTATCTAATACTTTTCGATTTTGCATAGTTACCTAAAACTCTGATTTTTGTGGAATATCTTGTCAAAAAGTTGCAAAAACTATTGCAATTATTTGACTTTGAAACACTGAATCTTTGGATGTAATATTGTATATCAGTAACACCTATAACTATCTATTTACTACTCTGTGCTTGTTTAACACTAACTAATACCTATAATTGTATACATATTGATGGATTTACATGTTCAAGCTGGCTCAAGTCAGTGAGTCTATGATTTTGGTATCATTTTGGTTAACTGTAATTGACTGTGATATTATTATTGTTGTTGTCGCTTGTTACCCTTCTTGTTGTGAATTATTTTCCCGTGCTGGTGTTTTTCTGCTTGTTAATTCCCTGTTTTCCGGGTTTTTAAGGGGAGCAAACCACAAGGTCGCTTCTCTGTAAATTATAAATTAATGTTACAATCCCCCTTCTCAGGCGTGAGGCTAGCAATCCCACCCTGTAAACAAACCTGCTACAGAAAATTCAGGACGATATATCTCCTTGAAACAAAAGAAAAAGTCTTTGTGGGGACATGGAATGTCCGTACTATGTATGAGATTGGCAAAGCTGCCCAGATTGCAAACGAAATGAAAAGATACAGAATTCAAGTACTGGGGATATGTGAAAGCAGATGGAACGGGAATGGACTCACCAAATTGTCAACGGGTGAGTCAGTGATCTACTCCGGTCACCCAGAAGATAACCACTCGCACACCGAGGGCGTGGCTATCATGATGTCACCAACGGCAACGAAGGCCCTGATGCAATGGGAGGCGATCTCGCCCAGGATAATGACCGCCAGATTCAACTCCAAAGGAAGGAAAGTGTCAGTTATACAATGCTATGCACCGACAAACAACGCAGACCTCGAAAAGAA